CCTGGATAAAGGGTTTCCAGGACCCCACTGTGATCTTCGATATCGCAGGGAAGGGGATCACATCTCCCCTGCTTCTTCCCAAGGGTCAGAACTGGGCATGGTGGGTAGGAAGAGTAGGTAACAAGTGCATACTGGGCATCCACTCCACACCAGGCCCAGAATCTTCTAGGCTCCTAGAAATCCTCTGTCAGGAAGGTGGCTGCAGTGAGCTCACTGTCTTTCGTCCCTGGATGTGGCAGCGGAGCCCAGGACTGACCACTGGGAGGCAGATGCTCTGCAGCGGGGACTCCAGCCTCTGGCTCCAAGTGGGACCTGCTGAGGTCTAAGACGCCTTCCCTTCTCTCCCCAGGTGTCGTGCGCCAAGTGCGGCCCATCGTGGGCCCGTTTCATGCTGTTCTGAAGCTGGAGATGAACTACGTGGTCGGGGGGGTGGTGTCCCACCGAAACGTCGTCAACGTGCACATCTTCGTCTCCGAGTACTGGTTCTGAGGGCCTGTCCTGGTGCAGCCACGCCTGCACCTCCAGGCCAAGTCATTGCTACAGCAACCATGCCTGCCCCGTTGACATCTCTTAAATTTATGTATTTGTTTGTAGCGTTAGGCCTACATGTATTGAGCTGCGCCCAGATGAATGAGTTCATCTGATGTGTTTCGGTATTTAAATGAGTCCAATTACTCGACTGTTGGTTGAAAACTTTGCTTATTGTTATTATTTCTGTAATGCAAAGGTTAACGTTTGCTTCTCTCTCTGCCTGAGGGCTGAGCGTTGCAAAGGACCAAGGAAAGAAAGACTTTTTCAGGGGGCAGCCAGTCCAGATGCCAAGGGAAAACCAGCTCTTGCACTGATTGTGTGAAATGTGACATTTGGTACTTTTTTTTGAGGGGAGGACCAGTTGGCGTATGGCCAATGACACGGCTTCAGGAGAGCAGCAGGTGTGCCCCATTCTGCGCAGAAGCTGCATAAACACGATGCCCCGGGGAGCCCTCTGAGGTGCCCCGCGGTCCTGTTGAAATGGAAATGGTAAAGCCAGAGCCTCTTAGGTTTGTGCGTGAACCCTGTGTGTTCACCAAGGGAATGGCTGGACTTTCTCTGCACCCTGCATCCGTCCTTTCTTATCAGAGGTGGGAAAATAAACAGTTTTGTGAGCCTCCTGATGGCCTGTGACTGAAAGTCTTTCAAGAAGGGGAATCTTCGCTAGCAAAGCGCCTGGGAATGTCCCCTCAGGCCTTCTCAGAGGCCCCTCTCTGCCCCCTGGGGAGGTTCGGCAGCAGGGCCCACATGTATTGGAACAGCTTCCCACCCTTGTCGTTTCTGATGCCATGCCCACCCCTGAGGAGTGTGGCCCAAGCCCACCCCGTGCCCCACGACCAGTCCTGGTAGGTGAGACATGGAGCCCTAGCATCTGCGCTTGGCATGCCTCATTCACTGTTCACAGAACCCAGCGAGGCAGGTGCGATCCTATGCAATTTCCAGATGAGTAAACAGGGTTCAATTGCCCAAGTCACACAGCTTTTTAGGCAGAAGGGATTCAAATTCAGTTTATCAGATGCCAGACTCTGCAAAGCCCTGGTCAGAAGACTCATGGACACACTGGGTGTGTCCCGCTACTGTCAGCATTGACCACAGAGCCTATGCTCCGAGGCTCACTAGGGCCCGCAGGGATGCGGCGGCGGGGCCCCTCGCTTCCACACACACCTCTCCTGCAGACCCTGCCCGGGTTTATCCCATCTTCTTAGGCACGGATGCCACTTGTGGCTCAGAGCCTCTTTCCTTCCGTGTCCCTGCTCATCTTGCAGCCTGGACCCCGGCACTGGTGAGATTTCAGCCCCATGTGGGACTTCGCCCTCTCTGGGATTTCAACGTGGCCCCAGTTCTGCAGAATGTGGCCTCTAGCCCCCTTTGGAAGTCCCCGCATTTCTGAGGTCACTCATTTGGGGGCACTGGTCCGTGAAAGCCAGGCGTGGGCTCTGGCCATCTTGAGGTGGTGGGAAGGGAGAGAACCGGTGCAGGACTGGACGATCCAGGGAGCCATCTGAGCAGCTCTGGAGGCCAGTGAATTGGGGTCTTGGCAGAGAAGGGGGAACCTGGGGTCTGGACACAGGAAGGGAAGCCTCAGGGTGAGGGGCAGGAAATAAGGCCACCTGGGGTTCTGTTTTCCTGCATGGAGTTTGGGGCAGGGGGTGAGTCTGCAGGAGACAGGCCGCTCTGGGCCCAGGCCCTTGGAGAGGGAGGTTTCTCCTGCTCCCTGAGGCCTGGAGTGGGGGTGAGGGGGTATCTCAGGGCCAAATGGGAAGACAGAAGCAAGGACCCCTGGAAAAGGGTCCTTCCCACTCTCTTTATAGGAGTTAGAATGGGAGCTGCCATTGGTGGGCAGAGCCAAGCCTCCTGCCACTGATTGGCTCTCTGGAGAGCACGTGACCCAAGCTGGCCAGTCAGCCCTTCCTGAGAGCAGGTGCTGGGACAGCACAGGGGAGGCAGAGAGGGCAGGGAGCCTCTGGGTGCAGCAGTGGGTGGGGACGGCTGGGGGAGGAGAGGGAGCTGGGCCCCTGTCCTGCCTGACTCTCAAAGAGCCAGAGAGGCCGAGTCGGCCCCCACCTTGACAGGGCCCAGCAGCATGAGTTACTGGCATCTGCCCAGCCTCAGTTTGTGCATCTGCAAAATGGAGGCAACAATCGCTGCCCGGCTGCCCTGCGCTGGAGATGGGCACAAGAGGGCTTTGCGCCTGTAAGGTGCTGTGTGTAGTCTTAATTCACTCATCGTTCAAGAGAGGAGGCAGAGGAGGATGACGATGATGATGCTAGCGAGCGCCCCCGTCAGTCGAGCCGCACCAATTCACTGTGCCAGAAAGGCATCTCTCTGACTCGGCACTTTCTTAACCGTCCATGCAACAGTCAGTGACAGTTGTGTACGTTAGACCCGGACACAACTTTTCATGTTTCACATCCATCTCCGGTTGGACAGCTGCTGGACCACTAAGTATCCCATGATTCTTGCAGAGTAATGCCTGCCGGGGACGCCTCGCTGCATGAGGGACCAGCTCACGTGAGCCGGCGGCGCCTCCGGGCCCCAGACAACAGGGATCCCTTAGAACAAAATAAAGGGGGAATCGCGAAAGGAAAGGCCAGTTTATAAGCAGGAGGAGGGGGCACACGCACACGGACACCAGACCGAATCGTTTTTGCTGATTTGGTAGAAGAAACTTGGAGGGAAGGTTCCGGAAGGTCATGTGCCGTCATATTCTACCAGAAAGCTGCGTCTGGTTTGAAGGAAGGGAACCTGCACTAATGTTCAGAGGAGCACTGCCGTGTGTGGCGGGACTGCCCGGGTCCCCTGGTGTCTGGGAGGGACCAGGCTCGACGGCAGCAGGGCCACCCCCGCACTGGGAACCCGGGACCCAGGGACGCAACGGGCTTTCCTAAGTCCCCGCGAGGTTCTCAGGTTCATTCAGGTGAAAACACCTGGTAAATCCTGCTACATGTTTGTGTTCCCAGTATTTTATCAGGGCAGTTTTGAAACAAAGTTGAACACATTTCACAGTGAATGCCAGGGTATGGACCACCTAGATTCTAACATTTTACAAGATCAATTTGCACTTTGTTTTTAATGTCTATTTATTTTGGAAAGAGAGAGAGAGAGAGAGAGCATGAGCAGGGGAGGGGCAGAGAGAGAAGGGGACAGAGGATCCCAAGCAGGCGCCGAAAGCACAGAGCCCGACGCAGGGCTCAGACTCACAAACCGCGAGATCATGACCTGAGTCGGAGTCGGACGCTCAACCGACTGAGCCCCCAGGCGCCCCAAGAGGACATTTTTATTCACGAGATGCTATATTCTCTTAGAGCCTAGTGTGGACGAGCAGTGGGGACAGACACACTCTGGAGCTCACGGGAGAGTGACATGAACTGGGGTTATGTGATGTGGCTTCCGCGGCAGGCTCCTTGCTGCCTCTGTCAGGGACACCCCAGTCGGCTTGTGCTGGGGCCACTTCCTAGACGGTCACCCTGGGCCGACGCAGATTCCCATCCAGGACAGTTCGCCTATTGTGTCCCTCCCTGGCTGTGCTCTGCTGCCTGGACGGCGTCTGGGTCCCGGCAACAATTCATTTCCGTCACGCTTCCCAGTGCCATTCATACCGAAGACGTGGGCTCCTGGCGGCTGCTCACCACCCCCATCCCCGCCCCGGGAGTGGAATGAGACGGAAAGTGACTCTTGAGTGACTTTTCTCCCTCAAGGGAGAAATAGAGCACGGCAGAGCTTGCGGACCGTGGCCCTTAGGGAGGATGGCACAGTCACCGTGACCCCGGTGATAATCACGTTACATCTCGTACAACACCTGGTACGTCAGGAACACTTCTAACTGTCCTCCAACATGCACACACACACACACACACACACACACACACACACACTTCCTCCTCAGCTCCGCGGCCAGGCCAGCTCGGGGCCACCTTCTCATAAGGAGACACCCGTCTCACTCCCTGGGTGACCCTCAGCTCTCATCACCCCAGAACTCACAGTGAGACCGCCCATCCTGTGGCCGCCCGTCACGTCTCCGCAGTGCCAGCATCCCCAAGATCCTGGATCTGTGACTTGACTTTTTAAAACTTCGTATTGGGCGCCTCGGGGGCCCAGCTGGTTGAGCATCTGACTCTTGATTTCGCCTCAGGTCATGGTCCCGGGATCATGGGATCGAGCCCCGAGTCAGGCTCTGCGCTAGGCATGGAGCCTGCTTAAGATTCTCCCTCTCTCTCTCTCTCTCTCTGCCTCCCACTCCGCTCGAAAAAAACCCCAAAACTTGTTATTGTCAAACTTTTTCTAACGCATTAAAGTATAGAGAAGAGTGTGTGAAAGCTCTCATACCCGTCACCCGGCTTCAACAATCACATTACCACCTTTTTACTATTCCTCTTAGCATCTCCCTTCTCTCGACGCCTTTTGTTTTCCAGGAGTATTTTTTTTTCAATAGACTTTATTTTTTAGAACAATTTTAGATCCACAGAACAGTTGTTCTGAAGACAGCACAGATCCCACACGGATCCCCGGCCCCCGGTTTCTCCACTGTTAATAGCTGCCATTAGTCTGGTCCGTCTGTTACAATTAATGAATCCATATCGATGCATCGCTGTTAACAGTGAAGAAATATGTACTTTATTTCGGTTCTCTTGGCTTGTACCTAATACCCTCCTTGTTCCAGGACCCCATCTAGGACACCACGTTACATTTAATTGTTGTGTCCCCTGAGTCCCTCTGGGCTGTGACAGTTTCTCACACTTCCTGTGTTGTTAATGACCTTGGCAGTTTTGAGGCGTACTGGACGGGCATTTTGTAGGATGCCCCTCAGCTGGGCTTTGTCTGATGGTTTTCTCGTGGTCAGATTGGGTTATGGGTTTGGGGGAGGAAGACCACAGAGGGGAAGGGTCCTTCTAGTCTATCACAGAAGGGCATTTGCCATCAACACGACCGAGCACAGTCAATGCTGACCTTCGTCATCTGGGTGAGGTGCGTCCGTCAGGCTTCTCTGCTGTGAGGTCACTCTGTCCACCTGTCCATTCTGTCTTCTTTGGGAGGAAGGCACTACGCACAGCCTGCCTTAAAGAAAGAGGAATTGGAAAAAAAAAAAAAAGAAAGAAAGAAAGAAAGAAAGAGGAACTGTTTTCCACCATCTTGAGGGCAGAGTGCGGGAATTATTTTAAAGCAAATCCCAGACATGTCACTTCATGTTTAAATACTTTAAATACTTTGTTAATATACATTTCTAATGGTAAGGGCTTTTCTTTTTTTAAGTTTATTTATTTATTTTGAGAGAGAGAGAGAGCAGTAGGGGCAGAGAGAGAGGGAGAGAGAGAGAATCCCAAGCAGGCTGCGCACTGTCAGTGCAGAGCTCAACGCGGGGCTCGAACTCACAGAGCGTGAGATCGTGACCTGAGCCGAAATCAAGAGCCGGACGCTTAACCGACTGAGCCACCCAGGTGTCCCCTAACGATAAGGGCTTTTAAAAACATGACCATCATACCTGTTACACCAAACCAAGGTAACAATGATTCTTTATGTCTAATAAGTGGCTTATGGTATTTCTAATTCAACTCCACAAGCACTTGGTAGGCTGGGTATAAGGAGGGGGGAGGGAGTGGTACAAGATAAAGAATTCGTGTTCCCTGCTCCCTGGGGTGGGGGGATGGGGAGCTAAATAGATGGCAGTTATTTCCTTAACAAAAGGAACTTTTCATTTACCAAAGGGCCAGCCTCCACCTTGCGCTCACGTCGTACAGAAAATGGACTTGCCCCGCTCTGTTCTTCAAACCTCAGCCCGAACATGAGGCTTCGCCCAGAGTGGAGGCTTCTCCTGGGCCCCCCGACCCGCCCGGGCCGCAGACTTCCCTTCTACGACCAGTGTTTCAATCGCGCGTCCCTGGTAATCCTGAACTGCCTGCCGCGGAGTCCCGGACGGGGTCACCTCCTTCCAGTGGGGCCCTGGCCGCTGAGAGGTTACGTGATCAGAGCCCGGAACTAGAAGACAGAGAAGGGGATGGCATGAGCCGGGTCCCCTGTGTCCCAGCTCCCAAGTCTGGTTGGAGAGTAGGGCCGGGGGCTGAGGTGAGGCGAGGTGGGCTGGAGGGACCCTCCCCTCCGACTCTGTCCGGTAACTGAAATAAAGTTCAAAGTTAGAAGGAACACACGTAGATCCCCCCGTACTATCTCCATGCAGGCAGTTGAATAGTGCCCCCTCCCAAAAGATGGGTCTAAGTCCTGGTCCCTGGCACCCGTGAGTGTGACCTTACGAGGAGATAGGGTCTTTGCAGGTGCGATCAAGTGGAGGTGCCTGGGCGAACCCGTTCTGGAATGAGGGCGAGGCTTAAGCCCAATGACCTGTGTGAGTATAAAAGAAAACAGAGAGACTCGATGTGCAGACCCAGAGTGAATGGCCATGTGAAGAAGGGATCTGCCCACAAGCCAAAGATGGGCCGCCGGCCACCAGAAGCTGGGAGAGTGGAAAGAATTCTCCCTCAGAGCCTCCAGAAGGCGTTAACCTTGACGACACCTTGATTTCTGGCCGCGGACCCCCCAGAGCTGGGAGAGCACAGGTCGCTGCTGTTTGGAGCCACCAAAGTTGTGACGGCAGGAAAGCTGGGAAACCAATGTGCGTGCGTGCGTGTGTGTGTGTGTGTGTGTACATATATGTGTATGTATCTTTTCCAAATTCCTGCCCAGTAATACATCTCTTGGTTTATACATTTCTTGGAGAGCACAGATAGTGAATTAATAACTGCGATTTTCTCATATTTTGCCAAAATGAGGCATCCTGAGTGTGGGTACACGTGCCTTGCATGTCCCTTTGGTCTCAGCCTTGAGAGGAGCAGCTTCATCGGGGACACCCGTGGCCCCAGGATTTGCTGCCAGGAGGGAAAGTGCGGCCGCGGTCCGTTTGGAGAGTTCAGCCGTGATTCCCGGTGTCCACGGCGAGCTCGAGGTGCCGCAGTTTAATTATTAAACCTCGCGGGGCATCAGAAGGGTTGGGCACACGGTGACGAGTGATCGCTTTTCCACACGCCGCTTTATTCCTACTTGCGCAGCTCCCGTACCAATCAGTGTCGTGTACGTCAGCGATGGTGCCGTGATGACGCCTGAAATGATGGACGGGAAAGGGTCGTCAGTACGCGTCAGAGAGAAGGGAGTTGAAGACTTAAACCTCCCGCCTTCGGTCTCCCTGCAGACAGATGTCACCCCAGCTTGTTCCTTGATTTTCAGGCACGTAGCCTCCACCCTGTGAGCGAGCTGTCTTCCCGACGGTGCCTTTGGTGCCCCGGGAAGTAAGCACAGGTCTCTTCCTGGCTGGACCCCGTCCTGAGCCACCCTAGACCTGCTCACGTCAACAGCCCTGGCCCCCGGTCCCGCCTTTCCCGGTAACTTGTTCCTTTAGAGCAAAGCAGAGCCTGTGCGCTCTGGTCACGTCCCTTCACGTGCTCTCATCCACTCATTCATTCATTCATTCGCCCATCACCTCACTTCACCCCCTCCCACTGGTGACGCATTCATCTGAGTCTCCCCCCAGCTGCCGGCTACCCTTCCACAACCCAGGTCGATGGAGCTCCTGATGCTCCCAGATCCCTCAGGGACGCCCACACCAGCCTCACGGCGTGGCTCCCGGAGGCCCCGGGGGCCCCGCCTTTACACGACCCCTCCCCCCACTCTACGAAGGGTCCAGACGCACACAACTTATTCACACACACAGATCCCTCCACCTGGGATAACATTGCTTCCACCTTCTCTGCCCGGCGAACTTCTCCTGACCCTACAAGACCCGGCACAAAATGCCCACTGGCTTAGGTTCACATCCAAAGGAATCGAAAGCAGGGACTCGCACAGATATTTGTATATAGGTGTTCAGGGCAGCAGCGTTCACAACCCGAGAGTCCCTCAGCAGATGAACGGACAAACCAAACGTGGTCCGCACATACAACGGAATATTATTCACCCATGAAAAAGAAGGAAACAAGCCAGACACAGAAGGACACCTAGTGTATGGTGCTAGTTAAATGAGGTAGATACGTGGACTAGGAAAATTACATAGAGATAGAAGACAGAATAGAGGTTTCCAGGGCTGAGGGGATGTTTGAGGGCGTCAGTGTTCAACGGGCAGAGTTTGCACTGGGGGAGATGAAGAGCTTTTAGGTAGAGACGGGATAGGTTCAATAATACTGCAAACGTATTTGGTGTCAATGCTGTTCTCTTATGAGTGGCTCATCCAGTAACTTCCATGCCATGCGTGTTTTATCATAATTTTTTAAAGAGTGAAAAATTCTGTTAATGTTTATTTCTTTTTGAGACAGAGTGAAAGCGGGGGAGGGGCAGAGAGAGAGGGAGACACAGAATCTGAAGCAGCTCCAGGCTCCAAGCTGTCAGCACAGAGCCCGACGTGGGGCTCGAACCCATGAACTGTGAGATCCCAACCTGAGCTGAAGCCAGGAGCTCAACCAACTGAACCTCCCAAGTGCCCCTTAAGAATTTTTTTTAAGCAATCTCTATACCCAGCGTGGGGCTCAGATTCACAACCCTGAGATCAAGGGTCGCACACGCCACTGACTGAGCCAGCCGGGTGCCCCTGATTTAAAAACAAAACAAAACAAAACTCTGAAAGCAATCCCAGTGTCTGTGAGGCCCCTCCCTCAGTTTCCCGAGTGTGATCAGTTCTTCCCTTCTCTGTGCGTGTGGAATCTTCCTGCGGTAGCCGTTTGCCGAAGTGTACTTTAAATGTCCATTGAGGGGGCACCTGGGGGGCTCAGTCCATAAAGGCTCCGACTCTTGGTTTCGGCTCAGGTTCAAGTTCAAGCCCTGCATTGGGAGCCTGATTGAGGTTCTGTGTCTCCCTCTCTCTCTGTCCCTCCCCTGCTCATACTCTGTCTTTCTCTCTGAAAAATAAACGTTAAAAATTTTTTAAAAATTTTAATAAACACCTCAACCGATGGTCCTCTCTGAAGCGAAATCTGTGAGTTCTCAGGTCAAGGTTGGCAAAGACCAGAAGCCAGTCAGCTCCCTCCACCTGCCTCACCCCCAGCCTCCGACCTCCAGCCTCTGCCCTGAACCGAGGACCGCCTGGTCCCCTTCAAATTCCATATTTACCGGATTGTGTTCATACCACCAGCCTGGGGGAGACAAGGGGTAAGAATGATAAAAAGCACGTGTGTGATGATACCTCCGTAAATACAGTTTAGGTTTTAAAGAGGTAACTACACACCCGAGCGGGGCGAACCCCGAAGTACGAGGCGCTGCTTTCACTGCGGCCAGCCGTCCGGGGTTTAAAAATTAGAAAGGAATGTTTTCCACTCTGCACAGTGGAAACACTCTTATCCCACGGCCTATCTTGACAACTTGATGGTGGCGCTTCTCAGCCCAGCCTAGATAATTGCATAATTAATTGTGTGCAGGTAACTCACCGGGAGAAGGTGCTTATTAGGAGCGGGGAGCCCGACGCCCACTCTCCCCTGGAAAGCCGCCAGGCTCGTCTCTGCGCCAAGTCCCCGTGTGAAGGAGCCACCCGCCAGCGTGCAGCGCCTTCTGTGTGCACCTCTGCTCACGGGACAGCCGACCCGAGAGCCCGGGGCCCCTGTCACTGCCCGTTTGTTCCATTGGGTCAAGTCTGAGGCTGTTCCTTGGGACCCAGGCCCTGCGAGGGTCGGTGCAGTGAGGCTGAAGAGCCAGGAGTGTCCCTTGGGCCTCCGGTCCTTCTCCCTTTGGTTTCCTGAGACGCTTCTAGAAAGCCAGCCTCTGCCTCCTTCCCCCCGCACCCCCACGATGGCGGACGTAGCTCAGGGCCTGATGCGCCTGTGCCCGGCTGGTTCCTTGAGTCCTGGCCTAGTCCCGATGCTGGGACACGAGTCAGGCCCAGCCTCAGGGCCCTGGGCCTTCAGGGAGCCTGGCCGTCCCTCAGTGGCCTGTCACCCAGAGCACGGCGGATGTGGGCCCTGATACGAGCCCTGGTATCGCTGAATCAAATATTTTGGCTGCTGGAGGCGGGGAAGTGGCTCCCAAACCAGACTTGGTTCTTTAACCCCCATCCCCCCACCATCGCCAAGATTCTTGGCCTCTGGTGCCTCCTTCTGTGAGACGCACATTCCCAAGGGCCTCTCCCCACCTTGCTCTTCCGCGACGGGGCGGGGACGTGTGCTGGAGGGCCGGCCGGGGCTGTTGCGGAGGGGGTGTTGGAGTACCTCCGTCACGCCGCAGCCCTGCAGGCGTCTCCCTCCCTCCCTCTGCAGGAAACTCGGAACAAAGTACTCGGTGTCTGTGGATGGTCAGCTTGCAACCGCTTGCCTGTGAGCCTAGGATGACGTTAGCGGATGTTACAGAAACCACGCTGTAGGGAAGCCTGCGCCTCTCTCTCCCCCTGCGCCTCTCCCCGCCCCGCGCCTCTCCCCCCCTGCGCCTCCCCCCGCCACGCCTCCTCCCCCCTGCACCTCTCCAGGAACCTAGAGTCTGCCCTGGAGCCCAGGCTTCAGGCAAGACTATAATGGTGAAGGTCAGGCAGGGGTGGGAGGTGAGGGGAGACAGGCACGCAGAGCTCCGGGCATGGAATAGGGCCAAGGAAGAGCGGGGGTCACCTGGAGGGCAGGGTCCAGAAACCACTGAAATGTCACAGAGCAAATGTGGCCATGAAGCAGCCTTCTCGGGGCAGTGTCCTCAACGGGACACCTGAGAGGCCACCAGCCTACTTGTAATGGAAATTACACCACCACCAACTCCGACCCGACACCACATTCTTGCAGGAAACCCTCCCTCCCGGCCCTGAGCCCCGTGCCCCGGCCGCCCGCCCCAGGCCCTGCACCTGCGAGGGTGACTTATTCCAGTCCGTGTGCGCGTGGACGGTGATCCGTCCTGAGAGGTGAAAGCCAGCTTTGGGTTCCTTGTGCGCAAAGGCAGATAGATCCCGGGAGAAACCTTCAGCTTCCCAAGAAAGCACCCTCCCCCCCCCACCTGGGATCCTTTTCTCTCTGACTCGTACACTGCCATGCATGCAGCAGGTGCCTAATTCTTGCCTGCCCCAGCAGGAAGAGTGTGCATTTGTAAAAAGAATCGATTTCCGCACAGTCTCCCTAGATGGGCCTTTACTGTCAGGAACCGGTGGAGCCCTGGAAAGCGGAGCGCCCGTCAGCCTCCCAAACCGAGGTCACAGCACCGAGAGCACCAGGCACCCCAGGACCATGCACTAACGGCACTGACGTCCTGGGGACCCACTCGGGCCTCTACCAAGGCCGACTTGTGCTAAGAACGTCAGGTTTGCTGGTGAAGACAAAGAAATCCATCCCGGCACAATTAACCCAAATGGGGTCCGGGGCACTGTCCACACTCCAGACATCGGTGGTTCTGAGGGAGAGTAGACAGACTTCTTTTTTTTTTTTGCCCACAAAACTTTGGCAGAGAATATTAACCCGGCTGCTCGGTCGGTCTGTGGCCCTCCGGCCAGGCCTTCTGTTTGTTACACGACAGGAAGACGTGTGCAGCTGGAGGTGAGGCCTGGGAGGGGGGTGACGGCTCGAACCCGGGCCCGGCTCCCTCGGGGGCTCAGGGAGGGGCGGCACGCGGAGCACTGAGACGGAAGCCGCCTGGCGCTCAGAGTCTGTTCCTACCAGAGATCGGAAACGAAAAGCCGCTTCCGACTGGACCAGGATGGCTTTGTTTAGGGAACTTTCACCAGCCTGGCGCACGCCGCCTCCAGGCAGCCCTGGGAGGTCATTGCTGGTCACCGCCTGGCAGAGGACAAAGTGGAGCCTCAGGAGCCCAGGGACCGCCCGCCCCCCGCGCTCCCTCCCCTGGGGCCCTCCGAGGCTCCTTCCGCTGCAGACACGGCGGGGAGACCAGCTCCCCGCAAGCCCCGAGGAACTTTGTGGAACCAGCCTCTCCTTCCCAACTACACTCACTGCAGGTGGATGAAACCGATAGCGTATTTACCGTGTGCAGATCCCCACATCCAAATACGCCCGAGATTAAAACAACAGCACAACAATCACCGAGGCAAAGGCACAGACGCAGGGCCTGGAGAGACTCCTCTGTGGCTGGTTGTGCGAAGCCTCCCGGGACAGGCGGGTCTGGAGCCAAAAAGGCTCGAAGGGGTTCCTTTCCTCCCTTCTCCCCGTAGGACCCGCACCCCACGTCTAGCGCTTTTCTCCAGCTCAGGCTAAGATCGTCCTCAGACTTTTCTTCAACTGGGTCAGTTTTCTCATCTGAACAATGGGTCTGATAATTACTGCCTCACGGAGCTTTGGGGAGAAGGAAGGGAGATGATGAATGTAAACACAGGGCACAGTGCCTGGCCGGGCAGAGGTGCGCAGGGAATCCGGTTCTTCCCTGGAGACACCCTTGTGGGCTCTCGGTAAACGTCACTTCACACTAATGCCATTGGTATCTTAAATTTTAAACAAGTCTTGATCGCACATCTTCAAAAGTGCAGGTACAGAGCCAGGTCCAGAAACCCAGCGGACAAGACACAGAGACCACCCGGATAATGGTGTGGGGGCCTTTCCAGGCCCAGAAGAAGCCAATTTCTTTTCTTTTTTTTTTTTTAACCCCATTTATTTATTTTTGAGAGAGAGAAACAGAGCATGAGCAGGAGGAGAGAGAGAGACACAGAATCGGAAGCAGCTCCAGGCTCCGCGAGCTGTCAGCACAGAGCCCGACGTGGGGCTCGAACCCACGGACCGTAAGATCATGACCTGAGCCGAGGTCAGGCACTTAACTGACTGAGTCCCCCAGGCGCCCTGAAGCCAATTTCCTTAACTGCCTGTTGCACCTACTGGACCGAGTTTTGTTTCCATCATTTTTATTGTGTTAGTTTTCCCTCTATGCACCAGGATGTTTACGACAAAACACATTTCAATTTCACAAATATTTTGAGAAATAAATTTCAAAAAAAAAAAAAAAAACAGCCAATGGATCAGTTATAGGTTAACTCCCCTAACTTTACTAATAAAAGCACTGTATGCTTTCAGAAGCCTGAGAATCAACATAACCCTTTTCACTTTGGCCACTGGGAGGCTCAAATCTAAATTTAATGTCCAATTGAATAACACCCTGACCTCCTGCCTTGTTTCTGATCTCCTTTATCTTCCTCTATAATGTTCTAAAACATGCTCGTTAAGGGAAATCATCTCATCCTTTTCAAAAAGGAGGCACAAATTATTATGTTGTAAAAGGTGAAGAGAATATTACAACAGGTATCACCTGATGCAAGAGCCAAAAGGTAGAAGAAACCTAAGTGTCCTTTGACAAATGGATAAACCAAATGTGGTCTATACTTACGGTGGAATATTGTATGTAAAATTCCTTAACAAGGAGGAGATTCTGACCCCTGCTGTGACGTGGATGAACCTTGAAGACACGTTGCTCAGTAAAACCAGAGGGACACAGAAGGACACGCACTGTGTGATTCCACTTACCTGAAGGACCCAGAGAAGTCAAGTTCACAGAGACAGGAAGTGGAGTGGAGGTTACCAGAGAATGAGGAAGTGCTTAATAGGAGCTCTTCTAGTTCAGGAAGAGGGAAAAGTTCAGAAGGTGGACGGTGGGGATGGCTGTGCGCCGTGTGAATGTTCCAGTGTGTGGCTTTTACCACAACTTTTTCAAAGTTTAAAAAAAAAAAAGAAATCACCTGAAAATGAACACTATAAAACTTCTGTCTTCTAGAAAATGCCCTAGGCTAATCTCTGCCATTTTATTCTTAGTAGAGGGATAGATAACGTGGTGGCTTCCTCATTCGGATGCATCTGCCCTCCTACCAAAGTTAGTGATGTTCTAGAACTCTCCAAGGAGGCATCGGAGCACAGAGGCAGCTCGTCCCCACCGCCACCGGGTGCAGCTAACAAAATCTCACTGAAACATGATGCGTGAGCAACGCCGCGTCCCCAGAGCAGACCCGCGTGCCCCGGACAGGAGCACCGTGAATGTGGTCTCTCAGCCCCAGCAGCGACTGTCACCACGGCTGTATTTGATCCCTGGCCCGCAGGTATTCACACCGTTTCCCCCATCATTAGTCGTGTCATATCATCACCCGCAATTTTGCTCGTCATCCCCCATCCCTCCCCCATTGGGGGAGGGATGCGCCATCAGAATACGGGGCATCGAGGAAGAGAGCAGGAAAGGAGGGAGGCCGGGGGGACGACGCGCGAGCCCGCTGCTGGCCTGCGGCTGGTGCCGGGCGCGGCCCACAGAGACGCTTTGTCCGGCTGGGCCCCGGCGGCCCTGGCTGGCGACTGCAGGGGCCCTCAGTCCATTTCCTGAAGGCTGGCTGGCGCCTCAGAAGCCTGGCGGGGTTTCCGCCTGACTCAGCGGCCCCCGGGGGCTGTCCCCTGAGCTGGGGGTGACCGTGGCCTGTCTGAGGCAGGGCAGGGATGCGGTTTCCATGGCAACTGGCTACCGCCAGCCAGAGTACCGCAGGGGAGGGCTCCGACTGTGGAGGCAGATGGCCTGGATTGGAGTCCTGGCTCTGCCACTGACAAGCTCTGTGTCATTGGCACGTAGCTAAACCTCCCTGAGATTGACGTGGGGACCGTGATCCTACTTGTGAACGCTCCCAGAAACTCCCGGCACCTGCCGCTCAGCCCCCGCCCTCTTCCCCATCAGCGTAGCGTGAAAAGTGCAGTCCTGGCCGTTTAGGTGACAAGGCCCCCGGGCCCCTCCTGCGGCTCAGCTGGTCCCCGACCTGCCCTCCGCCCGTGGAGGGCGGCCTCCGAGGGACGATGCGCAGGCCCTTCTCAGAACCACTCCGGCTGGCGTCCCGCGATCAGCAGGGCTAAATCCTAAGGGCCTGACCCAGATGTTCCGCCCACCTCCTCGTCTCTGCCGGACGTCGGGCTCCGACCCAGAACCGGGCAGAAACGCTAACGATGCCCACAAGGTGCTAGATAAACAGAGAGCGGGATCCTGGCCCAAGACAGCCAGAAACAAACCCGCAGCAAGGAAGTTCGGCTACACGCGCAATGCCTGGCGCGGCGCTCGGCGCACAGTCAGCTTGTAGTAAATACCAGCTCCCTTTATAGCCCGGTTTTTTCCCGCCCAGAATATGGACGATCTGCTTTCCACGTGTAAGAATCGGCAGCTGTAAGGCGGGGCGAGGCCAAGGCCCGGCGGGACCGGCAGCGGGAACAGTGAGCCTGTTTGGATTCACACGGTTTGTTACCTAAGTAGCCAGAGGGAGGGAGAGCAGACACAGGTGGCTGCAACGTAAACGG